GATTACTCAGCAAGTTTTTGTTTCATTTTTTGCGCTAAATTGCGATCACACAAGTTATTATTTTCTTACTGTCAACATCATCCGCACCAGTCGTGAAACGATACACTTATAACATAGGGTGACGAAATACGGTGCTTTACCTGCTTGGTATCATTAATCTTATGGCCAAAAGGCTCTAATACTTCGATGGGTGATCCTATGGTCAGGAAGGCGTGACAATTCGATTAGCGGAACGTTTATAACATAGGACTACCAGTAAGGTAGTTTACCAGTTTTTTGTTATGGTGCAATGGCTCTAACAATATGATGACTAATGCACTTATAGGATATGATCCTTTCTTACTTGAAGAAAACATAGTGACCAGTCACGGTTATAAACACCTTCATCATGTTATTTAAAACTACTTATGGAAGCACCTTTTCTCCACCTACCCAAATACAACAAAGAAAACTGACACACCTTCGAAAATTAGGCACTTAAGCCAATTACTGTTCCAATACACTATTTTTATTAGTCATCATCCTCAACGCGGAAAACTTAGACCGTAGTGGACAATTCTTTCCACGTTTCGTACGCTTTGGACTTACTGTTTGGACCGTAGACCCTTGGCTATCGGTTTCGGCAGACAAAGTCAAACATGTGGCACTTACCGCAACAATAAGACCGTTTTTATAACTTACTACTCAAATCTTGACGTTTCTGCTGAAAATTAGTAAATTTCTAAGCATTATATCTCGAAAACTAATAAAAATCGGGTATATACATTAAACCTTGATGAATTCGTCTTGAAAAGCATTATCACCTGATCGAAAAAAAATATATAGTTCCAATTAAAAAACTAAATTTCACCATCATATCTGTTGGGTAATGGGCTGGATTTTATTCTATATAGGTTTTTGGACTCGGGAATGGAGGATCGGAATTAACTGTTAACACTTTTTACACAGGAAACAGTCACAGTCACTTTATTTACAATTTCACAGTTTAAATTTTGAACTAAGAGTACAAAAGGTCACACATCGACCGGTAGACGAAAATTCGATGGAACGCACGGAGATCTTGGGCAGAACTCTGCATTAGCTCCGAACGCGACGGAAATCTTGACGCGACGATATTAACGAAATTTCGCAGCGATCAAGGTCCGACCGCAGAAGCACGAGATGCTGGTCGAAATAAAGGCTGATAGTCTCGCCACGTGTTATGGCGACGGCAACGGCGATTAACGCGAATTAACGGCACAACACGGAAAATATCGCGGGCACGACGTTCCGTTAATTTTATCGATATTCGGTGTCTCTAAATAATGGTAATAGCTCGGCGGATTATCACAATTTCGCGGAATTCGAATTGGAAAATAACTCGGGTGCGTGTGACTTCTCCTAGAGCCGGAACAACAAGAACGACGGGGCGATCTATCGGCATCGATCAGCGAAAACGGGGATACGCGACAGATCCTAATCGATATAGAGCGCAGGTACGCAGGAGAACAAGGACCGCGAATAGTAACTACAATTACGCATGAAAATGATCGGTAATGCGCGTTGCCTCGTTCGCGATGAAATTTGTGATTCGCGAATTCTTCTCGATATGGCCTTTAGCGCGATATTTAAAGTTTCCACGGAGACTCTCAGCTATATGCGGACATTACGGAACAATATCTTTTACATTAATAACATTAAACAAATTTTGTTTGCGCTAAAACTTAGAGCCCCCTTTACCCTGCAATTTCCATATAAACACTTTTTCGTGACATCAATTGTTGCATCGCCTTAGAATGCGATGCAGCTATCTTTTGTATTTTTACAAGGCAATAGACCGAGGATCTCGAACTGACCGTACAGGCAATAAGTTTATGAAGCCATTGACCATTTTTCGTTAGCAAAAAATACCTTCGCGTCGGTACCCAAGTTTACTGCTTGGGACCAGCATGTTTAATTTCCTATTCCGTTATTTTCAATCATCGTCGTCAGGGTCAGAGTGCTTTTTCACCTTATTACCTGCTACGGGTTTTTCCCAAATCGCGGTATCCCTCGTGCGTCACCCCTTGGTCGCGGCTACTTCCAGGGGTGACCATTTCTTGTGCGAGGGAGGTGACCATTTCTTACGAGGGCGGTCACCTCTCAAAAATCAGCTACCAATGAACGTACACATCCCCTTCCTAATTACCGATTCCGAGGTAACATCGACAGCTACTTTGGCGAAAGACGACAGAACACGAATATATCTTCTACATCACATATCGAAAACACGAAAAGAACACGATAATATCTCAAACATCACATATCGAAATCACGAAAAGAACTCAGTAATACACGAACAACACATATCTAACTCTCGAACCGGACTCACTTGTATTTCGAACAGAATAAACACTTAAAAACACGAACGAATCAACTAATATCACAATAATGAACGTTATAACACGAATCTTAATCGAATCATCGCATCACGAACTATCACTTAAAACCAGGCTCAGAGCTCGTTAAATCGTGACTGGGTCAGAATAGTGTCGGGTGCTCGAATCCGCGCTGTTCACGCAACATCAATAGTTCGTGAAATATCACGCTGTCACACTTTGGCGTGGACTCCTTGTATCCATTGAGTATCCCATTTAAGTTGACATTGCATAAAATCTCGAAGACATGTAATTTAAGAAAAACAAATTGACATATGTCCTTTAGTTTTTCGAATGAGGAGCGAAATGGTACTACTGATGTTTTAATGTATGGGCGTCTTCGAGGTTATTTCAAGGTCATCTTGTCCTTTTTTATTATAAACCCTTTTTTTTATTCTGAAATCATATTCTATGTGAAAAAATGCACGACCTTTCTTTAATACATTTTGGTGTAAGTCTAAATTGGCAAATTGGCTATGCTAAATTTCGATTTTTCAAGACATCACAGTTTAAAACTAACAAGGAAAGGCACGGAAGTGTGCCGCTCCGATTTTGATGAAACTTCATACGTTTGTTAAGCACGCAAAAATAAGGGACACGTATTTTTTTTATTGGCTGAGACGCGGGTTTAAGGAGTGAAACGACCCTTTAAAGTTTCTACCTCTTTTGGCTATCTCGAAAACCATACGAGATACATTAAAACTTCTAATAGTAAAGTTGTATGGCCTTTTGCGTATAATAACAGAATGTTAACGAATTGTGCAAAATACAATTTGTTTATAACAAAAAAATTTGTCATAACCTTATTTTACAATTTATTCAAATCTGCATAATAACAAAAAGTGAAGAGAATTTTATTACAAATCCATTGGTGTATATATATATACGATATTGCCTCCTACACATTTATTGTTAAAGTATGTAGGTATTCTATATGTCAATTTTATTAGGTAACGAACAGTTTGAATAAGTTAGGGAACAAAATCGCGGCAATAATGGTACTGCTCGAAGAAATGACTCAAACTAAATGGTTTTCGACACCAAGTGCATGAAATAATTGCTACGTCACTACATATGTGACATAGTGGTCCATTATGTGGTGGATAACAAAATACGGGATTTTAAAAATGAGGTGGTCTTGACGACATATATCCACTTTTATACCATGGACTATTTGAACCTCGAGTACAGCAGACCATGTTCAAGGCAATGAATACTTTTGTTACGGCATCGACATCCGAAAAACTTACAAAAGAAAATTTGAAAACCTGGTTAACAGAAGTTTATTCTCCAAATAGAAACAACAAAACAGCTCTATTATTAGATGCCTGGGGCGGGAACTGTCGTCGTAGGGTTGACAAAGCTACTCCGATAAATAAAGAAATAACGTTATTTATAATTCTAACTGCAACTACAAAATATTTACAATCATTAGACGTGTACGGATTTCGCGTATAGAAAAATTTTGTTCGTCCCTTTTCGAACATAGTTGTTATATTGCAATATGACATTAATCTTCACACACGAGATAACATTCTGAAACTACAATGATTTGTTTATAATCAGTTTTTATCACCACAATTTGAAAATTTCATTAAGCGTTCATAATATAAAAGTGCATACATATCGTCAAGATCACCTCATTTTCAAAATCCCGTAGAATTTTGCTATGCATCACACAATGAACCGCTATGCCATACACATATACATAGGCTTAACATCGGAAACCGTTGTGCTATAAACATTTCTTCGTTACCTAATAAAATTGACATACAGAATACCTACATACTTTAACAATAAGCGTTATGTAAAGAAATTTAATAAAATTAACAGTTATGTATAACCCATATATAATTATTTGTTATTTATACTTAAAAATGACATTGACTGATAGTGTAATATTGTCCGATATGATCCGGCTGAGTATCGTGCGGCGCGTGCGCGTAATGTTTATAATAAAAATCTGAAGAATTGTAGGAGGTAATATCGTATATATGTATATACACCAATGGATTTGTAATAAAATTCTCTTTACTTTTTGTCTTTATGCAGATTTGAATAGATTGTAAAATAAGGTTATGACAAATTTTTTTGTTATAAACAAATTGTATTTTGCACAATTAGTTAACATCCTGTTATTATACGCAAAAAGTCATACAACTTTGCTATTACAAGTTTTAATGTATCTCGTATGGTTTTCGAGATAGCCAAAAGGGGTCGAAACTTTAAGGGGTCGTTTCACCCCTTAAATCCGCGTGTCAGCCGATATAAAAAATACGTGTCCCTTATTTTTGCGTGCTTAACAAACGTACGAAGTTTCATCAAAATCGGAGCGGCACACTTCCGTGCCTTTCCTTGCAAATGGAACGCAGGTGGTACTGCATATTATGCAAACTTTTGTAACAAAAATCGGTTAAAGTTGCAACGTGAAATTGAACTTCCGATCAATAAAATTTATTCCAGATTTAAATTTCTATGAAAGTCATGGCAGTCAATTATAAAAGATTTCTAACTAATTTTTCTAAAGTAAACGAAAGATCGAAAGAAAGAAAACTGAAGAGCTGGGGTCAAATTTTAGTTATGAGAAAATTAATGTGCTGCACAATGGCACTGACAAGTATGTCGTGGGGTAGGGTTTGGATGTCCTGGATTTTTCTTATAAAGTGGGATGAATTTGTTATGCAGCTGTGTGTGTTGCCGGTAAGGGGTTTGAGGACAGATGTAAGGTACTTTGAAAGTTTGTATGTAGGAGAACCAATGGTGCTGACTACTTGTCAGTTTCGACGCGACGTGCAGTCTCTCTTCACTAATGTCCCCATTAAAAGAAGTATTGAAATCATCCAGGACAAAGTCCCTGAAAACCTAGTTCCTCTAACCCAACACTGCCTCAACACCAATTATTTCGTCTTCCAGGGTACATACTATGAACAGGTGTCCGGAGCAGCAATAGGATCACCCATCTCTCCCGTAGTTGCTGACATCTACATGGAGTAATTAGAGAATTACATTCTCAATAATGCGCCACTAAAACCATCTCAGTGGTTCAGGTATGTGGATGATACCTTTGTAGTTTGGAGCCATGGAAGAGAAAAACTTGGCGAATTCCTCGATTACATAAATTCCTTAGATCCTAACATACAGTTCACTATGGAAATAGAAAACCCGGACCGTTCACTACCTTTCCTCGACACCCTAATTACTAGAAAAGCAGACGGATCCCTTGGATATCAGGTTTACAGAAAATCTACACATACCAACCGATACCTACATGCTACATCCCACCACCACCCTTCCCAAAAGAATTCCGTGATCACATCTCTCATCCACAGAGCAACCTGCATTACCTCATCCACAGAGCAACATGCATTAGCGAACAAGAGAACCGGAACTGGAACACATCGGGTCTACGCTACAACAAAATGGTTTCTCCAGACACAGAAGTAATCGCACCATAGACCGACTGCCCAACCAAACAACAAAACCGACACACAAACGGAGGACAGACACACACGACAAAGAACACGCAACTACCTTCCTACCATACATTCAAGGTACGACCGACCGCATAGGCAGAATCCTCAGGAAACATAAAAAACATAACATCAAAATTGTTTTCACAACACATACCAAAATAGGACAACTCTTCACCTCCCCCAAGGACCTGCAACCGCAACTGTCTACACCAGGGGTATACAAAATCCCATGCTCATGCGGCCAAGTATACATCGGCAAAACTGGGAGGAGCGTGAACACTAGACTCAAGGAACATGACCGTTGCACCAGGTTGGGCTACATTCAATCAGCCGTGGTGGAACACCAGATTACCACTGGGCACAAAATCCTGTTTGATAAAACAGAAGTTTTGGCAAAAACATCAGCCTATATTCCTCGAAAGCATAGGGAAGCAATAGAAATACGGAAACACCCGAACAACATCAACCGGGAAACAGGATATCATATTAACCCAATCTGGCATACGCTCTTCCCAGTTTTTTTTAAATTGTGCGCACAATCAAAAAGTCCCACTTTCTGATTAACGCAAGCAATCAACCGGAACAGTCAACTATCCGGAATGTGAGCATCGCACCATAATATAAGGGGCGACATAACACCAGTTGCACCAGTATCAGTGTATCCCCTGATGAAGCTAGCTGCAATGCTAGCGAAACGTTAGGAACTTGTTTCCTTTAGGACACGGCTTACACCCGAAAGCCTCAACAGTAATACCTGTATGACGCCGGGCCGTGAAAGCCTCAAGTCTCATTAACAAATACATATTTTGCAAGGGATTTTTTATGCCGCAAGGCTTTTTCCCCCTAATTCGAATCATTCGAGCCAATAAATTATCATGATTTTTGAGGCTCAATTACGTCTAAATAATTTTTATTTACCCTCCTCCTCAATCAAATTCATCCATTCTTTTGAAACAGTATGTATACATTTTTCGTATAAATATAAACGTATGTTGTTGAATGTGAATGCGATATTAAATGAATCTTTATTAAATTATCTTGAATCAAATTAAATTATCATTTAAATGTTTATATTATATATATTATTAATTATTTTATGTATTGTTTGGGATTAATTATTTCTTCTATTGAAACACTTATAATTTGCGTAACTAAAAATGATTAAAAATACGATTTAACGGGAAAACTTGTGAGAAACTAATTAATAATAAATCAAAGCGTATTTTTATTAATCAAACTAATATATATTTGCTACTAAATAAAGCGTAATAAAAGAATAACTACTTTTTGAGAGGGAAAAACCAATGATTCTCTGGGTTTAAAAGGGCGTGCAGCAGCGGCTGCGAGCGCAGAACAATCTTTGAAGTACTACGTGCCGGATCTCTTAGGAAGCGACGAACTGGAGCAGTTTTAACTGGTAAGAGCCTACAAGATTCTTAGTTTTGACTGGACAGCGGGTATCAGCCATTTGGATACTCGATCGTTGGGTAGTTCTAGTAGCCAGCTAACGCAGGCTCCCGGTTCAAACGGTCTTGTATCTGAAACTCCGTAAGGAGAGTGCTATGCTCAGCCCCAGAAAGGGCTAAGACATCAAACAAGAGCTCTCCAGTCACTTATATATGTATATATATTTTGTAACCGTGCTGGTTACATAATATAAGAACACCTTATACATCTGTTCATGTATTGCCGCGGTATGGGGTATCCCTACTTCGAGCACACGTCGTGATCATTATTTCATGGGGTTACCGGTAGAATATTTACCTCACTTTCACTAATTATGCGTGCACATCGATACCCACTCGATAACGATCGAAGGAGGTCGATGCGAGGATCAAATTCGTCACTCTACGTCTGGAAGCGAATCGAGTCGGTTCAATAATTATCTTTTCTGCGAAACACGGTACGCGATCGCAAGGTCAAACTGACCTGATAGATTCGTCAAGCCGACAATTTATCCGCGTCACGTAAACGCCTCAAACCGAGGAGTCGATAGTTCAAGCCGAACGGTGGCACAGTCAGAATAAGATTTCGTAACAATTATTCGGTCGTATACAGCGTAGTAGTCAAAACATAAATATTAATTTGTATTAAAGCAGATAATCGAATACGGTAATTTCTAAATTCATTGGGTAAAGAGGTGGTAAGTAACGGTTGATTGGTAGTCAATTCTCTATAATAACTTTCGACGATATTCCCATAGTTGTGAATAGCGACTGAGATCATTTAAATTGTACATTTTGGCGTGGTACAGCTCTCAGGCTCATACAGGCAATTGAAGTGTCGCTCGGCCCACGTAAAGTGTCCCGCCGTATCTTCTAATTGTACCTGTGTGCCCTTGCGAGAGGTAGTCTCGCTGGTGTAGAATTGTATGATTTCTGCCATGTTTGA